ATGGGAGTAGAATGTGGGACCCTAGAAACTCAGACAAAAATTTGCCATGTGGATGTTGTTTAAAAATCAATTCCGAGGATGAATCAACAATGAAGTGTGGGAAGAGTTTAAATGTATTTCTGGAGATACCAAAGGGAATTAATCTAATCAAGTATCTGCTGGTCCGCCCCACTGGAGAAACCTAATCAGGGTGGAGCTTCAGGGATTCCTAGAGAAAGACATCTCAAAGCAGAGTTCATTCTGCCTGGAGGCCTTTGACGTTGGCTGAACTGTGGAAAACTCAGCTGCCTTCCAGTACTGAGAGCCCAGAGAACACTGCACCCCTGACCCAATAGGTGGCTTTTCCTACAAAGCATCTATGAGACCAATTATACAATCATCAGGTGAGCACGCACTTGCAAGTAGATGAGTTCTTACTTATTTCTCTTAAAAATTAAAAAGAAAATTTAACTGTCAGCAGGTTTAAGACTTTCCTAAGTGGATATAATCTGCCTAGTTAATAAAAATTACGGAAATTCTTTAGGTTTACTCTTGAGCTATAGAATTTTAATCTGTTATTGTTTTTTGACATTTACAAGTGTATGTAATTATTTTCTTTATGTTCCTTTTATATGTAAATTGTGATATTTAGAGGGAAAGTTCTAAATTTTGTGTAGTTTTATATTTGGCATAGAACCTAAAATTTAATTGGAAAACCTTGTGGTAGAACATAAAAGTAAAAGAGACTTAAAGATAAGGAACGGTTAGCCAAATAAAATTGTAAATATTCTTTAATTCTCATTTGATCCTTGACATTTGAAGGGAGAGGCAATATGATTCAATAGACAGTGTTCGAACCTCTACACAGGGTCCAGATAATGGAGAAAGCAGTCATTTACTACAGCTTCAAGTCTCACTCATAAGAAGACCACAGTGGCTTGTCTCATTTTGTTTCTAGCTCGTACCTTCAGCCACAGACACCTGAGCTGCACTTAGAATGTGGCCATACTCGAAGCACTAGAGAGCAACAGTCTGTTCTCTTTTTGCCATTTCTCTTTCCGTTTTAATTTTTCACTTCTTTCTCAGGACTTTTTTCTTACATTGAACCTCTCAAATGGCCAGCTGTTGGTCTTAGTTCTATTTAAGACATGCCCTGGTGATATTCGGCAGAACGGAGGGTGACAATGTTGAAAAGTACAAACATAGCATATGAAAGATAAACATAAATTTCACTTCAGAAGTAGGCAAGTTTTCATTTATATTGTTATGGACAATTTAATTATATGCGGGACATATCCCAAGTGGGTGGTGATTTTCACATTCATTTCTTCTCTTTCCCCTCTAAAATATAGAAACATATGCACTGCAAAACTTCCAAAATAACTTACCTGCTAAGTCTTAAGAGTGAAGAAGTTCGAGTTCCTACTGTACAACCGAGGCATTGTACGTGGCCCAAAGTCCCAGAAATGGAGTCAACTAATGGCCGAGACCATTGGTCCAAAGAAGACGTTGTGACATTACTGGATTGCATGGAGGATAATCTCCCATCCCATGACAACCACACATTCAAAACAACACAGTCATATATGGACTGGGAAAAAGTAGCCTTTAAAGATCATTCTGGAGAAAGGTGCAAACTCAAGTGGTTAGAGATTTCTTACAACATAAGAAAGGTTCGCACTTTGACAGAATTAGTCCTGGAAGCTAAGGAACGTGTTAATAATCTCCACAAAAGCAAAAAGTGCAGGAAACATCCGGACTTGCCCAAGAAGCCAATGACTGCTTACTTCCGCTTCTTCAAGGAGAAGAGGCCCCAGTATGCTCAAAAACACCCTGGGCTGAACAACAAAGAGCTGACCAAGGTCCTGTCTGAGGAATACAAGAAGCTCCCAGAGCAGGTGAAGCTGAAGTATATTCAAGATTTCCAGAAGGAGAAACAGGAGTTTGAGGAGAAACTGGCTCAATTCAGAAAGAAGCACCCTGATCTAGTCCAGAATTCCAAAAACTCTGTCGTCCCCATGAGAAGACCAACCAGAGCCCAGAAGAAATTTCAGAGGAATGTGAGAGAAGTGAAGTCTCCCACAGAAAGCTATTTTTCCATGAGGATGAAATTCAATGGAGAGCCCAGGAAGCCCCCCATGAATGAATACCACAAGTTCCAGCAGGACTTGTGGGAGAGTAGGGAGCTGCAGGACCTGCCGCTGAGGGAGCGCATGGTGGAGATTGGCAGACGCTGGCAGCGCATCCCCTGGAGCCAGAAAGAGCATTATAAGAGGCAGGCTGAGGAGCTGCAGAAACAGTACAAGGTGGACCTGGATCGCTGGCTCAGGAGTCTGTCTCCCGAAGAATATGCTGCGTACAGAGAGAGAACCTACACAAAGTATAAGAATATGAACATGAATGGAGGCCCGGATCCCGATATGAGCCCGACAGATGTGCAGTCTCCATCAGCAAGGAGCCTGCAAGCAGGGCTTGGACAGGAGCAGGGGCTTCAGGCTCCAGAGATAGAATCATCAAAGGCTGTTGGTGGCCATTCTCATGCCCCTTGGGGATCAGAAGAAAATCAGGAAGATGGCAGACAGGTAGGAGGCAGTAGCTCCTCGTGCTCCAGCAGTGCAGATGAAGATGAAGACTGTGAGTCTGAGGACAGCAGCTCCAGCTCATCTTCCTCAGGGGACACCTCTGACTCAGACTCCAGCTGAGCTTGATTACGCCATAAGGATGGAACAGAGAACTTCTCGGCAAAAGTCCATGGCGTCAAAGTCGATTTGAAGGGCTCTTCTAATTGTCTCTTTTCATTGCTTTGTTTCTTCCTTCATTTCCCCTCCTCCTCTTGAATATAGAGTAGAATAGGCTGTGAAGAAAGGAATTGAGGGCAGTGCTCTCAACATCAGGTCCATAAACCTGGGAGGAGAGGGCCCTTCTGGGAGAAGAAATATAATTATGAGCCTGTATCTGACTGTCAGTACTGCTCCCCCTAGGAACTCCATGTATTTAAAGCTCTTGAAACAAACAGTGACATTGGGCTAGGGGGAGGGGGCACAGTGCATTAGACTGAGTATTTTTGAAGTAAGTTTTGCTTTCCTCATTTTCTGTCTGCCAGAGGTGGTCAGGGGCCATCGTGAGCCTGTGACCACTGCATTCCCTATAGAACTCTACCTCTGGACTCTTGTACTATGTCTGGTGTGAGAAAGGAGTTGGCCATTCTGAAATGTGAGAGTGGGCAATGTCATGTAGGAGACAATATTTATATATGTATATTTAACTCATGTCTCTATGAGAGTTTCTTACTAATTTATATATATATACATATATATATTTATTAAAAAATTAACTATTTCATTTGAATGAGCACCTCCATAGAATAAATGCATTATAATTTGGGGCATTGCTTCTTCAGGTGCTGTCTGCATTTATTCTTTGCAGAAGCCTAAATTCCTTCCTGTTGCTCTAGGTTCTGGTGAAGCTCATTTAGTATTCAGGATGGATATATACAGGTAGATAGATAGGTAGATAGGTAGGTAGAAAGATAGATAGATAGGTGATAGATAGATAGACAGACAGATAGATAGATAGACAGATACATAGACAAGGATACATGGATAGATACACAGATAAATACATGGTACTTAAGAAAGAGATAGACATAGATATATACACTCTTCTATTCTATTGGTTTGTCTGAATTCTTATCCCAGTACCACATTGCTTTGATTATTTGGTTTACTGGTATGCTTAAAACTCTGAGACTATTGCCCTCTCATTAGATTTTTTCCCCCTGTATATTCCTGGCAATTTCTATATTGTGTTCTTATGAACATTAGCATCATAGAAGTAATTGTATCATTTTTATATGAAAACCATTAAGGTTTGTGTGTTTAGATAACTAGATATCTTAGTGAAGTATTAAATGTTTTTCTAGATAAATAATCAGTTTCAGAAAATAATGGCAATATTAATATTTTTACACCTCTAATTATTTTTCTTTCTAAATGTGCTGGTTGGGATACCCAGAACAATGTTATGTAATAGCAGTGATATGAGTTTGTCTTGTTTCTGACTTTCTAGGTAATGTGTAAAGAATTTGCAACTATTGAAATTATGCTGATTAATATACACTTGAAATAAATTATAATCTATTTAGAAAATACCTAGTATATTATTGTTGTTTTTAATCCATAATGTATATTATTGTATAAGAAGTCACTTCTATCATTGATCGGTTAATTTTTTTCCTTAGCCATATTAGTATAAGAAATCGGATTCTTGTATTACCTAATATTAAGCCCTTGTCACATTTCAGAAGTGAACCCACTTGTATTTTTTACTCTGTATCAAAAAGTTGATTGGAGTTTAGGCAAAATTTCCAGCCTTCCCTATGTAAATATAACATTTACACAAATCTTACATAAAGATTGGGAGAACGGGGCTCTGAGAAACACCCTCTAAGCCCCTGCCCCACAGACTCTCAGACCACAGCCCTACCTCCCCGGATCTAACTCCACCACTGTGCCTGGCCAAGTCCAGCTATACCTGAAGGTCGGTTCCTGCAGTGTTTCAGGATCCTCTTCCCATACTTCCTCTAGTCCCTGAAGTTCTTCCCCACTGGACGCCTGCCAGGCCTGGAGGATCCCCTTATCCCCAAGAGTGAGACTTCCGAGTTTGGATGAGAGAGAAACGCAGAAGGCCATGGTCCCTACATCAACACTCTCCTCCAATTCGCGGGGGTCAAATTCAGCCTGAAATCAACCCAGCCAGGGGCAGGCACCGCCACCTCGTCCCTCCCTGGGAGGCCAGGTGGCTTCGGTCGCGCCCTTGACCCCGCAGGGACAGTCCCAAATGGTCCCGGGGCCAGAGTCTCTTTGCACAGTGACTTTTCGGCTCGCTAGCTCGGCCTGGTGACCTGAGTCTCGGGCGGTGAATCTGGAGAGAAGGACGAAGAGTTTAGTATTTGCCGGGCGTCCCCCGCCCCCACCCGAAAAGGGGGAAGCGAGGGCCCCCGGAACAGCCCGAAGGCGGGGAGTGGACCGTGGGCGCATCTCTGGACCCGGGAAGAGAATGAGGTCCCGGGGGAGCCCGAGAGCCAGCGAGCGATGGCCGGCGGGACCGGGAGCGAAGCGGGTCACCTGCGCGTCCAGTCCTGGTGACCCGACCCGGCTCTGCGCACCTTAGTCGGCGGGGACGGGCCTGCCCAGCCGCCCGCCCTGGGAGGAGCCTTCTTTGGATGAAGCTATCGGTGACCTCGAAGACTAGGGTGCTGAGAAGAATCGCCTTCGGGATCCGAAAACGAACCCGGGATGAATCCAAAGCGATAAACCAAACACAGGAGAGCGCGAAAGGGACTCAGAGTGGCTGCGTCGTGAAAACCAAACCCAAACCACTCAACTCCTGACTCGGCTCAAACCCACACCTTTCCCCGACTTTCTAAGACTGTAGAAGGGGCGACCCCAAGTGTGTCCGCTCCCTCCGACCCGCCTCCTACTCCAGGTAATTATAAATCTCTATGGTAATTATAACGCCCCAGGTGCATCAGCCTCGAAGCATTTCTCCACTGCCTGGGCAGTGGATCTAGGACAGACGAACAGATGGACAGAGAGATGCACACAGCGATACAGCAGCCCATCTGGCAACGTTTTTGATGAAAATTCTCTAACAAATACTAGGAAGAAAAGAATTGATTCCTCTAAGCCATAGGGAAAATAGTAAAATTACCAAGCCTGGAAAGGAACAAAGGCCACTTCTCTAAGAGATGGGGTGCAGGAGCCACGGCAGTCTTGACTTCTGACACTACCAGGGCGTTCCTGGCAGTCTGCTCCTTTAAAAGTACTATTCCTGCTAGGCGGGGATTTTCATCTCTTTTAGCAAAGTGCTGAAGTTTTTGCAAAGACTGGCTCAGAACGGGAAAGAAGAGAGAACAAAAGAGTATAATAGGAGAGGAGAACAAAAAATGACAAAGACACAACAGAAACCATCTACACTTTCTCACAAGCCTTCACAGATCGTGCAGCAGATGGTAGAAGGCAGGGTTTCCCTATGTATCTCCTGGAAAAGTTGAAAAATTGCTCTTCACTTCTTTGAACAGGCTCCTCTACGGCTAGCATCCTTTTTCTTTCTCTCTCTCTCTCTCTCTTTTATAATTATATTACTTTAAAAAATACAGAAAGCCCAGAATCAGGTACAAGTCCTCAAACTCTAACACACCTGCTATCTGTTCTTTCCGTTTCTCTGATTGTGTCTTTATTCTTTCATTCCCCTCTGTATCTTTACTTCCGTCTTCCTATACATTTTTCACCTTGGTAGCATGCTTTTCGGTTAGCTTTTTTGATGCATGATTCACATATATCATTACCAACTTTAAGTGTACAATTTGATAAGTTTTGATAAGTGTATAGAGTTGTGTTGTAAAGCAAATGACAAGCTGTAGCTGATACTTCAGGCAACACAACAAAAGAGATGATTATTGCTTTAAAAGAAGCATATTTATGAAATTGGCTTGAAAGCCTCACGGTGAAAATACACAGTTCCACATTATTGATCCAAGAATATACCTTCCCTGCCCAGAGATCTCTAAACACTATGGAATAATGGTGAAGAAATTGTCAAAAGAATGTTTTATTTCATAACACAAAGTTAACGTACTCCCACATCCAGCTCTCATGAATGCCCACCTTTTTCCAAGCTCCTCTCCCATAAAGGTAATCACATCCAGGTGATTAATATACCCTGATATTAATTATAATTTCTTAAAACTTATATAAATAAAATAATATAGCACATACTCTTCTGTGTGTGATTTCTTTTGTTTAAAAGTATATCGGTGAGAATTATCCACTCTATTGCATGTACAATTGCCTTTATTATTTTGTTTTACAGTATTCCACTATGACTATACCACAATTTACTAATTCTACTAGATAGTGAGAACATATTCATTTCGACTGAGTAAGCATAAATAGTGCTTCCATGAACACATTGCACATACCCCTTTTTGACCTAAGTACATATTGCTATTGGCTGTGTAACTAGGAGTGATATTGTTGGATCGTAATGCATAACTTACGCTTAATAAAAAGTTTGCCAAAATGACCATGCCAGTTTACAACTTTTAAGCAATAAATGACTGTTTGGTTTCTTACATTCTTTTGCTAACACTGGCAATTACTTGTTTTTATATTTGTGTCATTCTGTGGTTGACATTGTGGTTTTAGTTTGCACTTACCTGATGATAAATGCAGTCGAACACTTTTTTATAGGCTTGCCAGACTTCTGGAGTCCCTTTTTTGGGGGGGACTGTTCATATGACCCCTCCCCCCATTTTTCTACCAAGTTGACTTGTCTTTTCTTATTGACTCTTGGGGTCCTTCCTATTTCCTTTGTAGAGTCATTTGTTGGATGCAGATATGTCGAATATCTTCTTCCATTACTGCCTTGCATTTTCAATGGTGTTTCATTGCACAGAAGTTATTAATTTTAATGCATTCCAATTTATTTTCCTTTACATTTAGTATTTTATGTGCCCTACTTAGGAAAACGTTCTCTGAAAATACATACTCCTAAAATGTTGTAAGAGTTTTATTTTTATTTATTATTCTTTCCCACAATCATAACTGCAATGATGTGGAAATATTTTTTATGTCATGAGATAAGGGTTAAGATTCCTTTTTATTTATATTTACAACCATAATTGACTCAAAACTGTCCT